AAGAAGGTTTGCTCTGTCTGTCAGCGTAGTGTCCAGAGCATGGAGGCGCTACCAGGAGACAGGCCAGTACATCAGGAGACGTGGAGGAGGCCGTAGGAGGGCAACAACCCAGCAGCAGGACTGCTACCTCCGCCTTTGTGCAAGGAGGAGCAGGAGGAGCATTGCCAGAGCCCTGCAAAATAACCTCCAGCAGGCCACAAATGTGCATGTGTCTGCTAAAAAACGGTCAGAAACAGACTCCATGAGGGTGGTATGAGGTGGGGGTTGTGCTTACAGCCCAACACCGTGCAGGACGTTTGGCATTTGCCAGAGAACACCAAGATTGGCAAATTCGCCACTGGCGCCCTGTGCTCTTCACAGATGAAAGCAGGTTCACACTGAGCACATGTGACAGACGTGACAGAGTCTGTAGACGCCGTGGAGAACGTTCTGCTGCCTGCAACATCCTCCAGCATGACCGGTTTGGCGGTGGCTCAGTCATGGTGTGGGGTGGCATTTCTTTGGGGGGCCGCACAGCCCTCCATGTGCTCGCCAGAGGTAGCCTGACTGCCATTAGGTACCGAGATGAGATCCTCAGACCCCTTGTGAGACCATATGCTGGTGCGGTTGGCCCTGGGTTCCTCCTAATGCAAGACAATGCTAGACCTCATGTGGCTGGAGTGTGTCAGCAGTTCCTGCAAGAGGAAGGCATTGATGCTATGGACTGTCCCACCCGTTCCCCAGACCTGAATCCAATTGAGCACATCTGGGACATCATGTCTCGCTCCATCCACCAACGCCACGTTGCACCACAGACTGTCCAGGAGTTGGCGGATGCTTTAGTCCAGGTCTGGGAGGAGATCCCTCAGGAGACCATCCGCCACCTCATCAGGAGCATGCCCAGGCATTGTAGGGAGGTCATACAGGCACGTGGAGGCCACACACACTACTGAGCCTCATTTTGACTTGTTTTAAGGACATTACATCAAAGTTGGATCAGCCTGTAGTGTGGTTTTCCACTTTAATTTTGAGGGTGACTCCAAATCCAGACCTCCATGGGTTGATACATTTGATTTCCATTGATAATTTTTGTGTGATTTTGTTGTCAGCACATTCAACTATGTAAAGAAAAAAGTATTTAATAAGATTATTTCATTCATTCAGATCTAGGATGTGTTATTTTAGTGTTCCCTTAATTTTTTTGAGCAGTGTACTTTGGTCACTGGGCTTTCCAACCTACACTACACCTCAGCACTGCACACCTCAAAGCTCTTTTGAAACTGACAGAGGATCAGTTACGCACTTGACTTTGTAGAAGATGTATTTGTCAGGACAAAGGGTAACGTATAAGGCCACTGTCTACAAAGTTTTGAAAGCTGATCGGATCTGCTGTGCCGGACTTGAAAGGGCTTACATTTTAACGCATGATGGTCATCCATGGTGGTAGTAAAGAGAATTTTACCTCGAACTGTCCGATGGCTTCACCCTCCACTGCTCCTCATGTATAATGAACTACACTGTTGATAACAGCCGATGGCAGGTATTAATTGCGCCACATTCAAAGCCTGTAGGGCCGAACAGATGGAGCTCGCCTGGTGAAGTGAGGGGACCCGTATCAATTAGCCATCTCATAAATGTATTAAAGATATAGCTTTCCATTTGGGACAACTTTTTAGCTACCACAGCCCAAGGTGAAGGCTGTGTAGCTGTTTATACCGGGCCATAGAGCCGTCAAGTTGCAGTGGCAGGGTTAACAGAGACAGTGTCCCCTCATCAACGTGTTGTAGGACTACTATGCTATTCTTTATCAAGAAGATTATGAACAGATTAAAACTGTTATTGCTGTTGAAAGATGGGGTGTGTTGTGGTGGCACAATAAACAAGTTGCTCTTATACCTGTGAAGTACATTTTACAATTTACATTTTAGTCATTTAGCAGACGCTCTTATCCAGAGCGACTTACATGAGCAATTAGGGTTAAGTGCCTTGCTTAAGGGCACATCGACAGATTTTTCACCTAGTCGGCTCGGGGATTAGAACCAGCGACCTTTCGGTTACTGGCACAACGCTCTTACCCACTAAGCTAGCTGCCTAAAGTAATTACTATTGTTACCTTTATACAGTCATTGGTTTCTGTATAGTAATTTAGTATTTCCACAATAAGTGGAATTTGTTATTACACAAGTGGAATAAGTATCAGCCCCCCAGTAAACTGTGCACCCCAGATATGTGTGCTGAATTTACTAACGTCACCAGCATAGAGACCAATTTTGTCAATGAATATGATTCAGTATGGACATACATACCTCTTTCCATTTGAGATGCCTAATGCTGAGCTTCAGTGCCTCCAGAGAGGTTTTGGCTTTGGACGTGTCCACGGTGACGGGCTTCCTCCTCTTCGCAACTGTGTTCCCATCCTCTTTGCAGTGTGGGCCTACTTTGAATTCTTTCGGCCGTTGGTTGGGCGCAACAATGTTACCGTTCGTTTCAGTCTGCCCCAGCAGAATCTTCCCAATCTCTTTGATTTGAAGCATCTGCCGCTCATTGTCTATTTGATTCAGGGGTTTCCCCTCATTGGCAGCTACTATTGTCCCTTGCGGTGCGGGGTCTGACTCCTGTTTAGTGTAGGTGTTCCGCTCATCTTTGCCCAGTTTTCTCCAACTTTTACTCCGATTCCTGCCAGTGACAGAGGTCTTGGATGCATCCCTTCGGGCTGCGGTGGTACAACTAGCCGGGATTGGGGAGACAGATGCGGGCGGGGATGCCATCGGCACCTCGTCATCAATAATATCTGTATCCTCCTTCTCCGCACCCTCACCTGATGATTTCATTTGTTCGAGTTGAACTTTCACTTTAACATAATGATCACTCATTATACGAATCAATACCACAAGGCAGTGCTCCGCAATAACGCACAGACCGAAAATAATGCGACAGCCAGTGATAAACAGAATTTTGCATAGCTAGCCAGTCACCACGCTTGCTACAATGTAACGTTATTGTAACCACTACCGGACCAACTCTCAATGCCTGCAACAGTACCGTTCAGCCAGACTGTATAATGACGTTTCCTCCGTGAAAATGCTTAGCAGCCCACAGACAAAGATAACTTGGTAGCTGAGACTTAAACTATTGCATATTGAGGTTAGAGCAAAATCTTGTCACAAGACTTTAACAGATAGGTAGCTAATTTGTTTCATCCCATTATAACGGATAGCAAATGTTTGCATAGGTTACGTTAACTGGCTACCATTCTCAAATCACTGTAGCTGCAGGACATGCTAGTAGTCTAGCTAGCTAACACCGGTTGACATTGTTGGCTTGACAGCCTCCCTCTGCAGCTAGCTAGCTAGTGCCATAAAATAATTGTCGTTTGTGTCATCCACATAATAACATGTCGCTATTTAATCAACAGATTGAATCGGGTTACCTCCTAAATGCATTGCTAGCAAGTGAATATCGTCAGAGCAGCGGCCAACGTCATCGGGACAAGACTGTCGTGCAGCAGATGTGCCACCGCCTGGCTGTCACTATCTGTGCCTACTGGGGAGAGGACTCATTTGGCTGGTGGTGAACGTACTGTGCAGTGGACTGTGTTTTCATCCGTCGTCACTAGTTACCACAGCCACAAAGTCATAAACCCCGCCCATTTCTACAATTGATCTTCAAATGTTATTTTAACCCTAACATTAAACACACTGCTAACCTTATGCCCTTGTGCCCAACCCTAACCTTAAATTAAGACCAAAACGCCTATTTTTGTTTTCATCAATGTCTACTTTAGCCAGTTATGACTTTGTAGCTGTGCTATCTAGTGGAAACCAATGATCCCGTTTGTTTTTATTATGGATCCCCATTAGCTGCTGCAAAGGCAGCAGCTACTTTTTCTGGGGTGCAGCAAAATTAAGACAGTTATACAATTTCAAAAACATTACAATACATATATTCACAACAGACTTCACAACACATTACGTGTGTGCCCTCAGACCCCTACTCTACTACCACATATCTACAACACAAAATCCATGTGTGCTTGTGTATAGTGTGTTTGTTATCGTGTGTATGCATGTGTCTGTGCCTATGTTTGTGTTGCTTCACAGTCCCCCTGTTCCATAAGGTGTATTTTTATCAGTTTTTTAAATCTAATTTAACTGCTTGCATGAGTTACTTGATGTGGAATAGAGTTCCATGTAGTCATGGCTCTATGTAGTACTGTGCGCCTCCCATAGTCTGTTCTGGACTTGGGGACTGTGAAGAGACCTCTGGTGGCATGTCTTTTGGGGTATCCATGGGTTTCTGAGCTGTGTGCCAGTAGTTCAAACAGACAGCTCTGCGCATTCAACATGTCAATACCTCTCACAAATACAAGTAGTGATGAAGTCAATCTCTCCTCCACTTTGAGCCAGGAGAGATTGACATGCATTTATTAATGTTAGCTCTCTGTGTACATCCAAGGGCAAAGTCCCTCTTCGTGGCACCTGACCACATGACTGAACAGTAGTCCAGGTATGACAAAACTAGGGCCTGTAGGACCTGCCTTGTTGATAGTGCTGTTATGAAGGCAGAGCAACGCTTTATTATGGACAGACTTCTCCCCATCTTAGCCACTGATGTATCAACATGTTTTGACCATGGCAGTTTAAAATCCAGGGTTACTCCAAGCAGTTTAGTCACCTCAACTTGCTCAATTTCCACATTATTCATTACAAGATTTAGTTGAGGTTTAGGGTTTAGTGAATGATTTGTCCCAAATGCAATGCTTTTAGTTTTTGAAATATTTTGGACTAACTTGCCACCCATTCTGAAACTAACTGTAGCTCTTTGTTAAGTGTTGCAGTCATTTCAGTCGCTGTAGTAGCTGACGTATATAGTGTTGAGTCATCCGTTGACAACGAAACTGACGGACACCTTCGAGGGACAAAACAGTGGACAAGCTGACAGTACTGTAGTTTTATATATCACCAGCAGAGGACGTGATTATTCTATTTTATACAATGACTGTATCATGAAGATTTTAGACAAGCATCTCTACGCCCACTCAGTTTTTCAGTTTAGATTAGTCAAATATGTTGTCAATAACATTCCGTTTCTAACACTCCCTCTCGGCGGATTAGGGACGCAAACTTTATCGCACTTTTTAAACAAATTTATATTTAGAGTAGGCTACTGCGTTTCTACATGTTCAGTATTTTGTTTAGTAACACTTTCACTTTTTATGCAATCTATCTTGGCTTGAGAAAGAGAACCAGGCTACACGTCTTCTGGGGGATGGTTAAACCTGTCTTTGTAGACGGATTGTCTGAATAAGGAAAAGGAGAGAAAAACGAAAGTTGTTCCAGTTGTGTTTTTTCAGTTTTATGGTCCACATCCCTCTGCAGCAATGGAGATAGAGAGTATGGTGGCGAACAGCGCACTCATCAGAGCCAGAGGAGGTAAGAAATACACCTATTTAGGTGCAGTAAAAACTACTACTGCATTAATACTAGCCTACTACTTCTTATTTCACCATACAATCCTTTTTTTTAGCAAGCACACACATTTTGCAGAAGGCTACATTTTAACATGACAGGTGATGCCCTGCTTTGGAGATTGCAGTGCACCCTTGTAATTCTTAACCTTATTGCAATTCTTATGAATGTGTCACAAAGGTTCATTTCAAAATGTCCCATAGTATGTAGAATGTGATTGCAGCTATTGCAGAAAGACAAGTACAACAAATAACTTACGTAACTGACTGTTGTACATAACCTACAGTGAGGTGAGAGTGAGTGAGTAGGAGTATGGGTCCCAGAGAAAGTTGCTTCCTTCTGAGGAACAATGTATGTGGTGAAGGAATGAGGAAAGGATGTATGATCAAAGAGGATTGATTAGGGGGTTGGGGATGGAGGCTCACTTCTTTTTTTCTGTTATTTTTTGTTCTCTCTTTACATACTAAATGTATTCTTACTTTTTGGCTCTGTGATGCAAACTATTCAATTATATATGAAGCGGCGCAGGTCCTGGTCCAGGCACTTGTCATCTCCCGTCTGGACTACTGCAACTCGCTGTTGGCTGGGCTCCCTGCCTGTGCCATTAAACCCCTACAACTCATCCAGAATGCCGCAGCCCGTCTGGTGTTCAACCTTCCCAAGTTCTCTCACGTCACCCCCCTCCTCCGCACACTCCACTGGCTTCCAATTGAAGCTCGCATCCGCTACAAGACCATGGTGCTTGCCTTTGGAGCAGTGAGGGGAACGGCACCCCTGTACCTTCAGGCTCTGATCAGTCCCTACACCCAAACGAGGACATTGCGTTCATCCACCTCTGGCCTGCTGGCTCCCCTTCCTCTGCGGAAGCACAGCTCCCGCTCAGCCCAGTCAAAACTGTTCGCTGCTCTGGCACCCCAATGGTGGAACAAGCTCCCTCACGACGCCAGGACAGCGGAGTCACTCACCACCTTCCGGAGACATTTGAAACCCCACCTCTTTAAGGAATACCTGGGATAGGCTAAAGTATTCCTTCTAACCCCCCCCCCCCCCCCCCCCCCCCCCCCAAATTGTAAAGTGGTTATCCCACTGGCTATAGGGTGAACGCACCAATTTGTGAGTCGCTCTGGCTAAGAGCGTCTGCTAAATGACGTTAATGTGCCCTTGAGCAAGGCACTTAACCCTAATTGCTCCTGTAAGTCGCTCTGGTTAAGAGCGTCTGCTAAATGACTAAAATGTAAAAATGTAAATGTAATTATATTAATTTGTGTGTTGTGCATGTGCCCCCCCCCCCACTTCCCCAACAAGAAAATGAAACAATTTATAAAGATTTGATCCCAAAGACAAGTGGACTGATTGACACTTAGAATGAACTTGCAGGGACTTTCTACAGTACTACTTCCTCAAGTTTCCTTTCTCTCTCTCTCTCACACACACACACACACACACACACACACACACACACACACACACACACACACACTTCATTCCTTAAAGTATTCAGTGATCTGACATAAAGCTTAAGCTATAAGTATAGCCTGCTTTCACCATCTAAATAATGTCAGATCAGTGATTACCTTAATGATGGGGTAGGGGATTCATCACAATCTTTAGAAGCAGGATGTAATACATTTGAGTTCTGTCATTGTTAAACAACCCCTATCTCTCTCGAAAGCAGGTAGAAAGACAGATGTCTCTACTAATAGATGTCCTGTCTGTGTTTTATGGGTCATGGGTGAAACCTCGCTATATGACAAAGTAGTAGCCACACACACCATATCTTAAGATGCAACACATTTTGCTACAGGCTACAGGAGAAATCAATCCTTTGGGTGGTTGGTGTGGAGCAGGTGGCCAAGTACACTCATATTTTATGTGCCACTGGAAAACACACACACACACACTATGTGTTTTGGCGAGCTGAACAAATGTCTGGTGGCATCAATACACCTGTATGACAGGTAGCAGGGTGACAGGCTCAGGGTTGGATGCGTGTGGGATGAGTGAGGTCACAAACCATAACAAACAGGTTGGACTCCTTCCTACGTTCTGTGAATATCATCATCAGTAGGTGACATCTGTAGGCAGGATCAGCAATTTTATCACAATGCTGCACTGTGTGTGTGTGTGTGTGTGTGTGTGTAGATTGCAGTACTATGTGGTCCCACAGGTTTGTTCCTGATTCAGACCTATTTATAGATCTCTCTTTGTAGTGGATGGATGCCAGGGCTGGAACCTGACTGACGAGGAAGCACTACACACACACACACACACACACACACACACACACGAACAAAGGCTATTGTTGACAGACTAATAGTAGTCTTTTTTTGGTGTGTTGAGGTGAACGAACAGGTCAACAGACCTTTAGGTTATAAGGTTATAACTATACAACTAGAAGCCTGAATCGGTCCAGTTTGAGATGTTTTGGTCTTACTGCTGATAGTTTTTATTTCTTTGTTTTCATTCTGAGGCCCCGTTTTAACATATTACACACAACACATAACCAAAGAGTTGAATGAGCTCACATGCTTTTGGGTATGAAAAACAGTATACTATGACAGCTCAGCTGTAATATCAAATTTCTCATACTCTTTCCCCATTTTAGGAGATGCTCTTAACCAGAAGAATTGGGGTCAAGTGCTTTGCTCAAGGGTACATCAACAGATTCTTCACCTAGTTGGCTTGGGGATTCGAACCAGCGTCCTTTCAGTTACTGGACCAATGCTCTTAACCGCTAGGCTACCTGCCGCCATTTCTTACCTCCTTCTTTCACCCTTCCCTCCCATGTTTCATCTCTCTCTAGGTGGAGGGGGAAAAGGCAGGAGTTGGAAATGGAAAGAGATGCTGCGATTCCCTCACATCAGCCAGTGTATGGAGCTGGGCAAAACCATCGGTCAGTGTGTGTGTGTGTGTGTGTGTGTGTGTGTGTGTGTGTGTGTGTGTGTGTGTGTGTGTGTGTGTGTGTGTGTGTGTGTGCGGTTCGTGTGTGTGAGAGTTTGTGTGTGTGTGTCTGTGCATCATGTTTTATATGTGTAATGTGTGTGTTTCAGAGCGAGACTACTCCAGTCTGTGTGTGAAGCAGCCTATCGGCAGACAACTATTCCGTCTCTTCTGTCAGAGCAAACCTGAGCTGCGGCACTGCAACTCCCTATTGGACGAAATGGTATGATCCACTATAGGCCTTATTCACTATGGAGGAGGTGGTATGGTCCATATTGGGGGAAATGATCAGATATAATTCTGCAAGCCGGTGTTACAGTACGCTCTGCTGATAGACCGGTGTCATAGCAAAGTGATGTCATATTTCTGAAGGGTGTGTGTGTGTTTTGGGCACACAGCCAGGAAAGAATTCTAGTATGATAACATTCTTAGGAATGTTATGTTAATGTATTAAAAAAATAAGTTATGTCTACTGGGTTAAAAAATAACTCTGTTATTCATATCTCTCTCTATGTATTTCCTCATTGGCCTGGACCAATGCCTTGCTGAAGGTTAGTGACCTGGGTCGTTCATGAAGAATGATCCAGCAATCAGTGCCAGCTAATAGACAGGGACAGGGACCGTCAAAATGACATCATTCATGTTGACAAAACAAGAATTATAAGTCCAGAAATCTTTTCATTTCTACAGGGGGAGTATGAGGTGAAGTCAGATGAGGAGAAGAGGAGTTTTGGCATGCAAATCATTAACAGGTTCCTCAGTAGACAGGTACCGTCTTTACACACTCTCTCTCTCACACACAAACTAAAGGTTGATTTCTCACTTGAGACTTTTGCAAGTTAATTGTATATGTGTGTGTTCTCTTGCCAGTCATCTGAGTGTGTACAGGTAGTAGAGCGCTATGGTGAGAGGTGTAGAGAGAGTCTGGAGGAGCAGCACAGTAGAGACGTCTTCATTGACTGCACAGAGTGAGTCTCTCTGCCCTTTACCCCAATTTCCCTCATCTTGCTCTCACCCTTCCCTCCCCTATCTGTGAGGGAATGTGTGTGCTGGGAATTCACCTCCTCTTACTGTGTGATTACAGTGACCTCCATGAGTACCTGAGTGGTGTCCCCTTCCTTCAGTACCAGCAGAGCATGTACTTTGACCGTTTCCTGCAGTGGAAGATGGTAGAGAGGTCAGTGCATATGGACATGTGTGCGTTTGACTGAATAATCAAACTAAGTGAGATATGACCACACAGTCACTGTGTATTTCTCTCCCCCCAGACAGCCTGTTACCAAACACATGTTTAGACAGTACAGGATGCTGGGTAAGGGAGGCTTCGGGGAGGTAAGGCTGCTTTCACTGCACTCTTAGAAAAAAGGGTTCCAAAAGGGTTCTTCGGCTGTCCCCATATTCGGCTGTCCCCATAGGAGGACGCTTTTTGGTTCCAGGTAAAAACCTTTTTGGTTTCATGTAGAACCCTCTGTGTAAACGGTTCTTCATGTAACCCAAAAGGGTTTTACCTGGAACCAAACATGTTTATTAGAAGGGTTATCCTATAGGGACAGGCGAATAACCATTTTAGGTTCTAGATAGCACCTTTTTTCTAAGAGTGTGCAGACAAACATGTTTTCACAACGTTTCTGAGAAAAATCTCAAATCAGAAAACATTGACCCAACATGTGTAACAACACATTTGATAGTGAGGATTCAGCTCATACAATCTCCCCCTCTCTATATCCTTTTCTCCCTTCCTCCCTCCCCTCTCACCCAGGTGTGGGCATTCCAGGCGCGAGCCTCTGGGAAGATGTACGCGTGTAAGAAGCTGGAGAAGACTCACGTGAAGAAGAGAAGAGGAGAGGCTATGGCCCTCAACGAGAAACAGATACTAGAGACACTTAACAGCAGATTTGTGGTAGGACTCTCTCTATCTCTCTCTCGCTCTCTCTCCATCCTCTTCTCTTTCTCTCCCTCCTTTTCTTTCATTCTCTCTCTGTCGCTCTGTGTCCTCTCTTCCGCTGCATCCTCCTCTAATGCTGTGTCTTTCATTCTCTCTCTGTCGCTCTGTGTCCTCTCTTCCGCTGCATCCTCCTCTAATGCTGTGTCTTTCATTCTCTCTCTGTCGCTCTGTGTCCTCTCTTCCGCTGCATCCTCCTCTAATGCTGTGTCTTTCATTCTCTCTCTGTCGCTCTGTGTCCTCTCTTCCGCTGCATCCTCCTCTAATGCTGTGTCTTTCATTCTCTCTCTGTCGCTCTGTGTCCTCTCTTCCGCTGCATCCTCCTCTAATGCTGTGTCTTTCATTCTCTCTCTGTCGCTCTGTGTCCTCTCTTCCGCTGCATCCTCCTCTAATGCTGTGTCTTTCATTCTCTCTCTGTCGCTCTGTGTCCTCTCTTCCGCTGCATCCTCCTCTAATGCTGTGTCTTTCATTCTCTCTCTGTCGCTCTGTGTCCTCTCTTCCGCTGCATCCTCCTCTAATGCTGTGTCTTTCATTCTCTCTCTAGGTCAGTCTGGCGTATGCGTATGAAACCAAACAGTCTCTCTGTCTGGTGCTGACCATAATGAACGGAGGAGACCTGCGGTTCCACATCTATAACATGGGTCCTCCAGGCCTGGAGCAGGACAGGGTCCAGTTCTATGCTGCTGAGGTCTGCTGTGGTCTCCACCACCTCCATCAGAGGCACATTGTCTACAGGTCAGTAGACACTGACTCCATCCTGATTCTACACCCTTTTTAAAAGCAAAGGATCGGTGTAAGCATTGGCTGGAGGGAGTTTCCTCCATTGTTAAATCCATGTGAGAAAGTGTTTGCACACTTTTTGCACACTTCTGGAAAAGGGTGAAGTCGTCTCATGGAGTATGCTAAAATTGATTAATGTGACATTGAAAAGGCATTGTACTGATTTCTGTTCTTTGTTTTAGGGATCTAAAACCGGAGAACATCCTTCTAGATGACAACGGTAGGCACACTTTAATGATATCACAATCTATGCATGTGCTTCAGACCGATATCATTCTTCCTTATTCTTCACATTCTAGCCATGCAGGATCTATAGTGCCTTTAGAAAGTATTCACACCCCTTGATTTTTTCTACATTTTGTTGCGTTACAAAGTGGGATTAAAATAATTGTCATTTGTTTGTCAACAATATACACAAAATAATGTTGATTTTTAAAATGTATATTAATGGAAAATAAAACACTTGATTATACAAGTATTCAATCCCCTGAGGCAATACATGTTACAATCACCTTTGGGAGAAATTACAGCTGTGAGTCTTTCTGGCTAACTCTTAAGAGCTTTGCACACCTGAATTGTACAATATTTGCCCCTTATTCTTTAAAAGATTATTCAAGCTCTGTCAAGTTGGTTGTTGATCATTGCTAGACAGCCATTTTCAAATCTTGCCATAGATTTTCAAGCCGATTTATGTCAAAACTGTAACTAAGCCACTCAGGAACATTCAATGTCGTCTTGGTAAGCAACTCCAGTGTATATTTGTCTCCCAGTGTCTGGTGGAAAGCATACTGAACAAATTTTCCTCTAGGATTTTGCCTGTGCTTAGCACTATTCCTTTCCATTTATTTGTATCATAAAAAAATCCCTGGTCCTTGCCGATGACAAGCATACCATAAAATGATGTAGCCACCACCATGCTTGAAAATATGAAGAGTGGTACTCAGTGGTGTGTTGTTGGATTTGCCCCAAACATAACGCATTGTATTCAGGACATAAAGTTCATTTCTTTGCCACATTTTTGGCAGTATTACCTTAGTGTCTTATTGCAAACAGGATGCATGTTTTGGAATATTTTGTATATTCTGTACAGGCTTACTTCTTTTCACTCTGTCATTTATGTTAGTAATATGGAGTAACTACAATGTTGTTGATCCATCCTCAGTTATCTCCTATCATAGCCATTAAACTCTAAGTGTTTTAAAATCACCATTGGCCTCATGGTGAAATCCCTGAGCGGTTTCCTTCCTCTACGGCAACTGAGTTAGGAAGGGTGCCTGTAATAACTGCACCATGCTCAAAGGGATATTCAATGTCAGCTTTTTTTTTCTTTACCCATGTACCAACAGTTGCCTTTCTTTGCGAACCATTGGAAAACCTCACTGGCCTTTGTGGTTGAATCTGTGCTTGAAATTCACTGCGACTGAGGGACCTTACAGATAATTGTATGTGTGGGGTACAGAGATGGCGTAGTCATTTAAAAATCATGTTAAAACACTATTATTGCACAGAGTGAGTCCATGCAACTTATTATTATCAACCACATTTTCACTCCTGAACTTATTTAGGCTTGCCATAACAACAGGGTTGAATAGTTATTGACTGAAGAGATTTCAGCTTTTCATTTTTGACATTATTGGATACTGTGTATAGATCAGTGACACTAAATCTCAATTTAATCTATTTTAAATTCATGCTGTAACCCAACAACATGTGGAAAAAGTAAAGGGGTGTGAATACTTTCTAAAGGCACTGTAGTTTCCCTAAGAAGGATATCCTGGTGATGAAATGTAAGATTTGATTTTCTAACAATCACAAACATGGGCGGTTGGTCTTTCAGGAAGTGAATTAACGGTGTGTGACAACCAGGTCTAGTCTATATTTAGATCACCTTACTGGTATCTATTCCAAGCTTGGCAGCGTGTTTGGAAACTTGGAAACACATGTAGACGATACCAAGCATACCACTGTAACTAGTAACTATCTCACAGGATATACACACATCAGTGGTGGTCGGTGCCATTTAAGATGAGGAAGTTTTTTTCTTCTTCTCATCAGCATGTGCATATTTCTATTACAGCATAGGATGACTGTCGTTCATATTCCATTCACCCAGTTCAATGTAACATCGATAGGTTTAGGCTACTACATGACACTATAATTTTCCCAATACACATCATGAGGTTGCTACAACCTAGCCTATTTATAAACATTTACAACGTAGGTGCATACAGGTCGAGAGAACATTTTGAGGTGACAGACATTGACACATGAACAGACAGTGAAAAAACCTTTCCAAGCCAAACCATATCATAACCACTACACACTGCCTACATCGTTGTCACCATATTAGCTAAAGTAATGTCATAGTTAACATAGCTAATAGAACTAACGCGTTAGTAAACCCGTTACAATCATGCCGTAACGTTACAGTGTAGTCAGTAAGCAGTTCAATATGCAGTTTAGCAGTTACACCGGCGGGCCCGGTGGCAATAAAGTAGTCAAACCAAAAGCTTACCTTGACTTGGAAGAATTCCAGTGTTGTGTTGGATAGTCATAGCCAGCTAACTAACATAGCATCCCTCTGTTTGAGCCAGGTGTTTGAGTAGGCTAAACTAGCTTGCTAGCTGCATTTGCTAGCTAAGTAGCTAAGTGAAAGTGAAAAATGACAAAATATAGCTCTCTCTCTATCTCTCTTTGCTTCTCCTTTATTTTTGAAGAAATTAATTTGTTCAAAACTATTGTCTTTCTCTTTGAGTCAACTACTCACCACATTTTATGCACTGCAGTGCTAACTAGCTGTAGCTTATGCTTTCAGTGCTAGATTCATTCTCTGATCCTTTGATTGGGTGGACAACATGTCAGTTCATGCTGCAAGAGCTCTGATAGGCTGGAGGACGTCCTCCAGAAGTTGTCATAATTACTGTGTAAGTCTATGGAAGTGGGTGAGAACCATGATCCTCCTAGGTTTTGTATTGAAGTCAATGTACCCAGAGGAGGACGGAAGCTAGCTGTCCTCCGGCTACACTACAGAGTGTTGTTGAGGCTACTGTAGACCTTCATTGCAAAACAGTGTGTTTTCATTATTTGGTGACGTTAATATATTAAGTATAGTTTTATCTAAAAAGGATAACTTTAATGTTTTACTATTTTTATTAAATTCACTGAAGAGGATGGTCCTCCCCTTCCTCCTCTGAGGAGCCTCCACTGACACACACACACACACACACTGCCACTGTCACGTCACCTGCCAGAACCATCCTACTCCTTCTGCTCATGTATCTTATTTGTGTTCCATGATAGATGTTTTCCATGACAGGATTTTCATCAATCTATTACGTGACATTTTCCACGAGTGAAAATCTCTTGAAAATGTGTGGCTACCCTATGTTGTATGATGTATCCACTGATCCCCCACCCCTCTTCACCTGTCCCAGGGCACATCCGTATCTCAGATCTGGGCCTGGCGGTGAAGCTATCTGAGGGGGATCTGGTACGAGGCAGGGTGGGCACCCTGGGCTACATGGGTACGTGGCTTTAACCTACTGTACACTTTTAGGTGTTCTACATTTTACATTTTAGTCATTTAGCAGACGCTCTTATCCAGAGCGACTTACAGTTAGTTAGTGCATACATTATTTTTTTCATACTGGCCCCCCGTGGGAATCGAACCCACAACCCTGGCGTTGCAAACGCCATGCTCTACCAACTGAGCTACATCCCTGCCGGCCATTCCCTCCCCTACCCTGGACGACGCTGGGCCAATACACAGATGCAGGGTGTATGAAAGATCATGAGAATACTTGCACACTGTTTAGATTATCCACGGTGGTCAAAATGTTGTGACGTGTTTGCCATCATGAGAAGTTTTTTTTTACATCACAGTTTACCTCCAGATGTTGTACTATCACTGAGCTTCATTAAATATATAATTTGGGAGCAACAACAAACAGTGAACTGACATTTCCAAACCCCTCCCTCTTCCCATCAGCTCCAGAGGTGATTAGCCACGAGTACTATGGGATCAGCCCTGATTGGTGGGGCCTGGGCTGCCTTGTGTACGAAATGACAGCAGGACGGTCCCCGTTCAAGGGAAAAGGGGAGCGATTGATGGGAAAGGAGATGGAGAGAAGGATACAGGAGGAGGAGGAGGAGTACGGGAAGATATTTAGCAACGAGACAAAAGACTTATGTCGCTCGGTAAGACTAGAGTTTTGCTCTGATTTGACCTCAGACCTGTCAACAAGCAAATTCTGTTCTACATTGTAACTGCATGGATGTGCTCTCGTCTCCCCCCCTCTTTCTCTCTTCTTCCCTCTTTCCCTCACTCTCTCTCTTATCCTTCTTTTTCCATCGCTCACTCTCTCAGCTGTTGAACAAAGACCCGAGACATAGGCTGGGGTGTCAGGGGAGTGGGGTGTATGGGGTTAAGTCCCATCCCTTCTTCAGAACTATCAACTTCAGGAGGCTGGAGGCCGGAGTCATTGAGCCACCCTTCAAACCAGATGTAAATACCCTAACTCAAATCAAATGTTATTTGTCACATGCTTTGTAAACAGGTGTAGACTAACAGTGAAACGCTTACTTACGGGCCCTTCCCAACAATGCAGAGAAATAATAGACAAATAATAACAAGGAATGAATACACAATGAGCAACGATAACTTGGCTATATAGACTGGGTACTAGTACCGCGTCCATGTGTAGGGGTACAAGGTAGAAATGTACATATAGGTAGGGATAAAGTAACTAGGCAGCAGGATAAATAATAAGCAGTAGCAGCAGCGTATGTGATGAGTCAAAAGAGTTAGTGCAAATGTGGGTCAATGCAGATAGTCCGGGTAGCCATTTGGTTAACTATTTAGCAGTCTTATGGCTTGAAGGTAGAAGCTGTTCAGGGTCCTGTTGGTTCCAGACTTGGTGCATCGGCACCACTTGCTAACTCTAACCGCTATAATCTGTAAAACTGCAATTCAATTGATATAATATGGAATACTAGATGTTTTAGTAAGTAAGAATACTTCTCCCTCCCTCTGTCCTCTCCATCTTTCCGCCCCCCTTCACTCTCTCCAGCCCAGAGCGGTGTACTGCCAGGATGTTCAGGACATTGATGAGTTCTCCACAGTAAAAGGAGTCATTTTGGAGAGGAAAGACAACGACTTCTACATAAAGTTCAAAACAGGCGCCGTGGCCATACCCTGGCAGACAGAGGTCAATACAATTTGCAGATTATTACATTTGATTTAGTTCTGTTAAATTCAATTACATTAAATTCATTTCAATAAAATGTTATTGTATTGGTAGCAATTTGAGGTTAGGTATGGTCATAGGCTAATTGAGATGACTAACTCCTAACCCTCACTCTCCCCCTTGCTCTCGTTCTCTCTCATAGATGATAGAGATGGGTTGTTTCAAGGAGCTGAATGTGTTCGGGCCTCAGGGTTCCAGACCTCCTGACCTGGACTGGACCCACACCCCTGCCCCAGAGAGCCCCAAACGCAGTCTGCTGGACCGCATCTTCCGCAGACACGTAGGACACACACACATGTTGATGGTTGGGCTTCCTAATGGCTCACTCAACCCCTCTCACCACTGCAACTTTAGTTGTAAATGAGAACATTCTCTCACTCAGTTTACCTAGTGTAGAGTAAAATTAATAGATAATGATTTTCTGTGTTGTTGTGTTTGCAGCATGCAGAGGAGTCGGGCAGCAACAGACACAACTCAGACAGCAGACCCATGGACTCAGCTGGCCTGCTCAGCACTACATTATAGTGGTGGAGGCACAGCACTACAGCCAATGGAATAAAGCCAAAGCTGAAACAGAGACAAAGAGTGACAGGGCCATACCATCTATCGTTCACCAGCTCAGGCCAAAAGAGACCACCCCCATACTATCATCCAGAGTTGCTCATCTTATTTCTGCATGAGTCAGATCAGAGGGAACCTCAGCGAAGACACATGTTCTGATTTTGTACCTGTGTGTTTATGTAACCTTGAAAACAAATCTTTACTTTATTAAAACCAGCATGAATGTAAAACAAAAGTAGCTTGAGACCAAACGACTTGGTAAAACGTTAATATTTCACATCTTTAACCAGGTTTCCATCCAAACTTTTTATGCACGTAAAGTACGTCGGATAAAAAATGTCACGTCAGGCCTGATGGAAACAGCAAATGTCTGTAAACTTGGCAAATATCGCCAAAACAAAATACATTAGACAAGGTGGGATCTTTTTGTGTCTGTTAAAATAATTATGAGAGAACTTGCGGTGGAAAAGCTTTTATGGGCAAATATTGATATAATAACCATCATATCGAAGTAAACTTGGAGTCACGCGATGACATGTTGTGTGGTCCTAACACTACGACTCGGAAGACATGCAGTTTATTAGGCTACAGATTAAATAAATAATGATGAACTTCACAGGGTGGTGAAAGTGCAAGGTGATGCGCTTAATGCTTCTTTCCAATAAATATCGAGGGTCTTATTCTGGTGACATGATTATCGAAGCATGCCATTTGACAAATTAAAAATAATCTCATGTAGACTGTACCCGCACTGTATCTGCGAGCTGCTGACTAGAGCGCACATGTCAATACCTGAGTGGGCACATTCGCTATGTAACGCAAATTGTTTTGTGACAAAACCATCAGTAGAGTTGAAAATGCTTCTTTTTTTTTTTCGGTACATGGGAATTTAACCGCAAAAGTTATTTTTATGTGTACTACTTCGTCACGCAAAGACTAATTCGCAACCAGTCAATTTGTTGGAAACACGTCTCTCGTGGGAAAATGCGCATATTTATGCGGATTTTAGAATATTTGCATGAAGATCTGTGGCCAATAGTATGGAAACCTAGTTTATGAGACCAGCTGGCAGGTAAATGAACAAAAACAGAATCTGTTCATATGCTTGAATAAATAATATCTGTAACTAAGAATATCTGGGGTGTTTCACAAAAATGGATAATGAATTTGAAACTTGTCCATACATATATGATTGTACAGTGCTGGAACACCTAAACTGCTTCATTCACCAAAAAGAGTTGATAAGAAAAAGCAAGTTCACTGTCAACTGACACCAAAGTCTCATTTTGATCACACACATCTTGTTCAATAGAAGGGTGCAGTTTATTTAAGTTACATTTTACATTTTAGTAATTTAGCAGACGCTCTTATCCAGAGCGACTTACAATTAGTGAGTGCATACATTTTTCATACTGGCCCCCCGTGGGAATGACAATAATGTTTAAGGGACTCCACAAAGAGACCACAAAGTGTCGATGTTCAGGTCGACATCAACCCACCAATAAATGCTGGAATGGACTCCTCCATGCCTGTCCGAACACTCAACTGGCCGTCTGTGTGTGTGTGTTTATCCTTCCCAGGGCGGGCTACGTCGCCCGTCCACGTCTGTCTCTACATGATACAGCATGTCAGCCAGTGTGTGTTCGATCACCGCTCCCCAGCCCATATCACTCATCTGGAGACACAAACACACACCAATCAATCAAATCTACAACCTCAGTGACATCAAAACTACAAGCATCTCTATTGCTTGTCTAATAAAATAAAAATAAAGTATATGTACAGTGCCTTCAGGAAGTATTCATACCCCTTGACTTATTCCACGTGTTACAGCCTGAATTCAAAACTAATTCGTTTGATGTTTTTCTCTCACCCATCTACACTCAATACCCCATAATGACAAAGTGAAAACATGTTTTTAGAAATCTTTGCAAATTTATTTCAAATTAAATACATACATCTCATTTACATAAGTATTCACAGCCCTGAGTCAATACTTTGTAGAAACACCTTCGGCAGTGATTACAGCTGTAAGTCTTTCTGGGTAAGTCTAAGAGCTTTCCACACCTGGATTGTGCAACATTTGCCCATTATTCTTTTCAAAATCCTTCAAGCTCTGTCAAATTGGTTGTTGGTCATTGCTAGAGAACCATTTTCAGGTCTTGCCATAGATTTAAGTAGATTTAAGTCAAAACTTACTCTACCACTCAGGAACATTCACTGTCTTCTTGGTAAGCAACACCAGTGTAGATTTGGCCTTGTGTTTTAGGTTACTGTCCTACTGAAAGGTGAAATCTCCTAAATGTCTGGTGGAAAGCAGACAACCAGGTTTTCCTTTAGGATTTTGCCTGTGCTTAGCTCCATTCCATTTATTTATTTCCTGAAAAACTCCCCAGTCCTTAACGATTACAAGCATACCCATAATATGATGCAGCCACCACTATGCTTGAAAATATGGAGAATGGTACTCAGTAATGTGTTGTATTGGATTTGCCCGAAGCATAACACTTTGTATTCAGGACAAAAAGTTCATTACTTTGCCACATTTTTTGCAGTATTACTTTAGTGAAATCCCCTCTGGCAAGTGAGTTAGGAAGGACGCCTGTATCTTTGTAGTGACGGTGTATTGATACACCATCCAAAGTATAATTAATAACTTCATCATGCTCAAAGGGCTATTCCGTGTCTATTTTAACCATTCTACCATTAGGTGCCCTTTGCGAGCATTGGAAAACTTCCCAGGTCTTTGTTGTTAAATCTGTGTTTGAAATTCACTGCCCGACTGAGGGACCTTCCAGATAATTGCATGTGTGAGGTACAGAGATGAGGTAGTCATTCAAAAATCATGTTAAACACTATTATTGCACATTGAGTGAGTCCATGCAATTTATTTTGCGACTTGTTATACACATGTTTACTCCTGAACTTTAGGCTTGCCATAACAAAGGCATTGAATAGTTATTGACTCAAGACATTTCAGCTTTTCATTTTAAATTAATTTGTAAAAGTTTAGAAAAACATAATTTCACTTTAACACTATGGGGTATTGTGTGTAGGCAAGTGACAAAAAAATCTCTATTTAAACCATTTAAAATTCAGGCAGTAACAAATAAAAATGGAAAAAGTCAAGGACTTTCTGAACGCACTGTATATGTGTGTGTGTGTGTACTCACTGGCTGGTACTTGATGTCTTTTGGAGGGTGTTTGAAAAGTGGTCCAAAGTTAACCGAAACCTGGGTGAAAAGAGGGATAATCATCACAACGTGATTAAAAAGGATTGGGCATCCTTGGAGTAGATACTGCTATATATCACAGCACAATAAACCTCTGGGGCATTGTATTACTTACGGTGCTGTGGAGGGAGATGGACGGAAAATATAACCCTTCAAACAGACACACACACACACAAACACACACACACTACTAACCGTGCAGCCCCGGTAAAGAGAGATGGCAGGGAAGTAGAGCCCCTCAAACAGATTTTCATAGGCCAGACCCAGGTTCACACCATTCTTATAGAACAGCATCTGGAGAGGAGGGGAGAACAAAGGTATCAACAAATGGAAATGCCAATCCTATATCTATTATGTCAACAACATGTATGATAAGGACAACCAATAGGAATCATAAGAAATTGGCAGTGCATTCTGAGATAATCCCCATTGCTTTAAATGTGAATGTCTGATCTATTGGTTGTAGTTCTATGCTGGAGCATCACCCTGCTGGGGGTAACAGTCTTCAGGCTCTTCTCTGCCTTGTCCACATAGTCCTTCTCCTCAAAGTACAGGTAACTCTTAAACTTAATCAGCGCCTAAGAGAACACACAGGGATGAGAGGTCAAGTCTCATAACTACAACAGAGAGTGGATGCCTGCTACTTCCTATTCTCAGTTACACATTAATCAACACTAGTATTTGAAAAATATATTAGAAAAAGTACCTTGTCCTTGTAAGTGTCCGGCAGTGCCTTTGCAGTCTCAGTGCCGTCTGGTAGTTCTATGAAGAAGCCCAGAGTGTCTCCCTGTCCGTAGCCTGAGGAGTAGTGTTTCCCTACAGACTGGTGGAAACGTGTCCCCTTCTTACTGCGCCATGAGTAGCTGAACTTATCATAGCCCAGAGGGGCCTGCAGGTTACCTACAACACACACACACAAGTTATTACATATGCTGTCTCCATGTGTGTATGGTCGTTTGCTTATGCGCGTGTGTGTGTGTGTGCACTTGCGTGGTACTAACCTAGAGGCTGAGACCAGCCCAGTCTGGCTGCGGTGTCCGGGGGCATCTCATCGATGGAGACCTCAAAGTACCATGATCCTTTCCTGACACCATGGGAGGCTCTGACCATGGAGTAACCCTTCTCCCCTGTCACTGTCAGACGGTCATCTGAGATCTTCAGCTGGGGGGCTGCAGACATACAGTACCAGTCAAAAGTTTGGACACACCTACATTCAAGGGTTTTTCTTTATTTTTACTATTTTCTACATTGTAGAATAATAGTGAAGACATCAAAACTATTAAAAGAACACATATGGAATCATGTAGTAACCAAAAAAGTGTTAAACAAATCAAAATATATTTTAGTCTTCAAAGTAGCCACCTTGATGACAGCTTTGCACACTCTTGACATTCTCTCAACCAGCTTCACCTGGAATGCTTTTCCAGTCTTGAAGGAGTTCCCACATATGCTGTGCACTTGTTAGCTGCTTTTCCTTCACTCTGTGGTTCAACTCATCCCAAACCATCTCAATTGGGTTGAGGTCGGGTGATTGTGGAGGCCAGGTCATCTGATGCAGCACTCCATCACTCTCCTTCTTGGTCAAATAGCCCTTACACAGCCTGGAGGTGTGTTGGGTCATTGTCCTGTTGAAAAACAAATGATAGTCCCACTAAGCCCAAACGAGATGGGATGGCGTATCACTGCAGAATGCTGTGGTAGCCATGCTAGTTAAGTGTGCCTTGAATCTAAATAGATCACAGACAGTGTCACCAGCAAAGCACCCCCACACCATCACACCTCCTCCACCATGCTTCACGGTGGGAACCACATATGCGGAGATCATCCGTTCACCTACTCTGCGTCTCACAAAGACACGGAACCAAAAATCTCAAATTGGACTCATCAGACCAAAAGGACAGATTTCCACCGGTCTAATGTCCATTGCGCGTGTTTCTTGGCAGCAATTTGACCATGAAGGCCTGATTCACAGTCTCCTCTGAACAGTTGATGTTGAGATGTGTTTGTTACTTGAACTCTGTGAAGGATTTATTTGGACTGCAATCCAAGGTGCAGTTAACTCTAATGAACTTATCCCCTGCAGCAGAGGTAACTCTGGGTCTTCCTTTCCTGTGGCGGTCCTCATGAGAGCCAGTTTCATCACAGCGCTTGATGGTTTTTGAGACTGCACTTGAAAAACCTTTCAAAGTTCTTGAAATGTTCCATATTGACTGACCTTCATATCTTAAAGTAATGATGGTCTGTCGTTTCTCTTTGCTTAATTGAGCTGTTCTTGCCATAATATGGAGTTCTGTATACCCCCCTACCTTGTCACAACGCAACTGATTGACTCAAACGCATTAAGGAAAGAAATTCCACAGATTAATTTTTAATAAGGCCCACCTGTTAATTGAAATGCATTCCAGGTGACTACCTCATGAAGCTGGTTGAGAGAATGCCAAGAGTGTGCAAAGCTGTCATCAAGGTGGCTACTTTGAAGAATCTCAAATATAAAATAGATTTTGATTTGTTTAACACTTTTTTGGTTAATACATGATTCCATACAGTGGGGAAAAAAGTATTTAGTCAGCCACCAATTGTGCAAGTTCTCCCACTTAAAAAGATGAGAGAGGCCTGTAATTTTCATCATAGGTACACGTCAACTATGACAGACAAATTGAGAGAAAAAAATCCTGAAAATCACATTGTAGGATTTTTAATGAATTTATTTGCAAATTATGGTGGAAAATAAGTATTTGGTCAATAACAAATGTTTCTCAATACTTTGTTATATACCCTTTGTTGGCAATGACACAGGTCAAACGTTTTCTGTAAGTCTTCACAAGGTTTTCACACACTGTTGCTGGTATTTTGGCCCATTCCTCCATGCAGATCTCCTCTAGAGCAGTGATGTTTTGGGGCTGTCGCTGGGCAACATGGACTTTCAACTCCCTCCAAAGATTTTCTATGGGGTTGAGATCTGGAGACTGGCTAGGCCACTCCAGGACCTTGAAATGCTTCTTACGAAGCCATTCCTTTGTTGCCCGGGCGGTGTGTTTGGGATCATTGTCATGCTGAAAGACCCAGCCAGGTTTCATCTTCATGGAAGGAGGTTTTCACTCAAAATCTCACGATACATGGCCCCATTCATTCTTTCCTTTACACGGATCAGTCGTCCTGGTCCCTTTGCTGAAAAACAGCCCCAAAGCATGATGTTTCCACCCCCATGCTTCACAGTAGGTATGGTGTTCTTTGGATGGATAGCATTCTTTGTCCTCCAAACACGACGAGTTGAGTTTTTACCAAAAAGTTATATTTTGGTTTCATCTGACCATATGACATTCTCCCAATCCTCTTCTGGATCATCCAAATGCACTCTAGCAAACTTCAGACGGGCCTGGACATGTACTGGCTTAAGCAGGGGGACACGTCTGGCACTGCAGGATTTGAGTCCCTGGCGGCGTAGTGTGTTACTGATGGTAGGCTTTGTTACTTTGGTCCCAGCTCTCTGCAGGTCATTCACTAGGTCCCCCCGTGTGGTTCTGGGATTTTTGCTCACCGTTCTTGTGATCATTTTGACCCCACGGGGTGAGATCTTGCGTGGAGCCCCAGATCGAGGGAGATTATCAGTGGTCTTGTATGTCTTCCATTTCTTAATAATTGCTCCCACAGTTGATTTCTTCAAACCAAGCTGCTTACCTATTGCAGATTCAGTCTTCGCAGCCTGGTGCAGGTCTACAATTTTGTTTCTGGTGTCCTTTGACAGCTCTTTGGTCTTGGCCATAGTGGAGTTTGGAGTGTGACTGTTTGAGGTTGTGGACAGGTGTCTTTTATACTGATAACAAGTTCAAACAGGTGCCATTAATACAGGTAACGAGTGGAGGACAGAGGAGCCTCTTAAAGAAGAAGTTACAGGTCTGTGAGAGCCAGAAATCTTGCTTGTTTGTAGGTGAACAAATACTTATTTTCCACCATAATTTGCAAATAAATTCATTAAAAATCCTACAATGTGATTTTCAGGATTTTTTTCTCTCAATTTGTCTGTCATAGTTGACGTGTACCTATGATGAAAATTACAGGCCTCTCATCTTCTTAAGTGGGAGAACTTGCACAATTGGTGGCTGACTAAATCTTTTTTTTCCCCACTGTATGTGTTATTCTACAATGTAGGAAATAGTACAAATAAAGAAAAACCCTGGAATGAGTAGGTGTATCCAAACTTTTGACTGGTACTGTATATATATATACACACACACACACACACACACACACACGCACGCACGCACACAGACAGAATTCTGAGAGAATGTGATATTCAACATTACTGGGTAAAGCTAAACATGAGAAGCCCATCTCCACTACACTACAGTAGGATTTCCTGTGTGTGTACCTCTGTCGTGCAGGGCTAGCAGTACTCTCTCGTAGAGACAGGCTCTGTAGAGGTCTCCAGGGATGGGTTTCCCAGCCCAGCAGTCCAGCTCCAGTTTCTCTGGGTCGGGGGCGTGAGGGTCCGGCTCTGCTAGGATGTAGCGGTAGCCATCTTTGTTGAAGGGGTGCTCCAGGGGGTAGCCATGGGGAGGAAGACGCTGGGCCGAGAACAGAGGGTCACTACAGAGGGAGAGAAAGGAAAATGGGAGAAACAGACTCCATGAGGGTGGTATGAGGGCCCGACGTCCACAGGTGGGGGTTGTGCTTACAGCCCAACACCGTGCAGGACGTTTGGCATTTGCCAGAGAACACCAAGATTGGCAAATTCGCCACTGTCGCCATGTGCTCTTCACAGATGAAAGCAGGTTCACACTGAGCACATGTGACAGACGTGACAGAGTCTGGAGACGCCGTGGAGAACGTTCTGCTGCCTGCAACATCCTCCAGCATGACCGGTTTGGCGGTGGGTCAGTCATGGTGTGGGGTGGCATTTCTTTGGGGGGCCGCACAGCCCTCCATGTGCTCGCCAGAGGTAGCCTGACTGCCATTAGGTACCGAGATGAGATCCTCAGACCCCTTGTGAGACTAAATGCTGGTGCGGTTGGCCCTGGGTTCCTCCTAATGCAAGACAATGCTAGACCTCATGTGGCTGGAGACCTGCCCGTTCCCCAGACCTGAATCCAATTGAGCATATCTGGGACATCATGTCTCGCTCCATCCACCAACGCCACGTTGCACCACAGACTGTCCAGGAGTTGGCGGATGCTTTAGTCCAGGTCTGGGAGGAGATCCCTCAGGAGACCATCCGCCACCTCATCAGGAGCATGCCCAGGCGTTGTAGGGAGGTCATACAGGCACGTGGAGGCCACACACACTACTGAGCCTCATGTTGACTTGTTTTAAGGACATTACATCAACGTTGGATCAGCCTGTAGTGTGGTTTTCCACTTTAATTTTGAGGGTGACTCCAAATCCAGACCTCCATGGGTTGATACATTTGATTTCCATTGATAATTTTTGTGTGATTTTGTTGTCAGCACATTCAACTATGTAAAGAAAAAAGTATTTAATAAGATGATTTCATTCATTCAGATCTAGGATGTGTTATTTTAGTGTTCCCTTTCTTTTTTTGAGCAGTGTATATTGCTCTTGAAAAATAAGAGACCACTGCAAAATTATCCGTTTCTCTGGTTTTACTATTTATAGGTATGTTTTTGGGTAAAAATAACATTTTTGTTTTATTCTATAAACTACTGACAACATTTCTCCCAAATTCCAAATAAAAATATTGTCATTTAGAGCATTTATTTGCAGAAAATGACAACTGGTCAAAATAACAAAAAAGATGCAGTGTTGTCAGACCTCGAATAATGCAAAGAAAATAAATTCATGTTCATTTTTAAACAACGCAATACTAATGTTTTAACTTAGGAAGTGTTCAGAAATCAATAACCCTGATTTTCAATCACAGCTTTCATGCGTCTTGGCATGTTCTCCACCAGTCTTTCACATTGATGTTGGGTGACTTTATGCCACTCCTGGCGCAAAAATTCAATTCAGTGGTTTTTATACTTTTCCTCGTTAAATAAGATTTGGTTCAGGTGATCACCTAATCAGTACCTAATTCTGTAGAATGAGGTGTGCCTGTGTTGGAATTCAACAGACACTGGAATGGATTGGCTGTCATACATGTAGAGATGCTGATTTAAGAAACATTTGCAGTGGTCTATTAATTTTTTCCAGAGATGTATATACAGTTGAAGTCAGAAGTTTACGTACACTTAGGTTGGAGTCATTAAAACTTGTTTTTCAACCACTCCACAAATTTCTTGTTAACAAACTATAGTTTTGGCAAGTCGGTTAGGACATCTACTTTGTGCATGACACGTATTTTTTCCAACAATTGTTTACAGACAGATTATTTCACTTATAATTCACTGTATCACAATTCTAGTGGGTCAGAAGTTTACATACACTAAGTTGACTGTGCCTTTAAACAGTTTGGAAAATTCCAGAAAATGATGTCATGGCTTTAGAAGCTTCTGATAAATGATGTCAATTAGCCTGAGTCAATTGGAAGTGTACCTGTGGATGTATTTCAAGGCCTACCTTTAAACTCAGTGCCTCTTTGCTTGACATCATAGGAAAATCAAAAGAAATCAGGCAAGACCTCAGAAATGTTTTTGTAGACTTCCACAAGTCTGGTTCATCATTGGGAGCAATTTCCAAACGCCTGAAGGTACCACGTTCATCTGTACAAACAATAGTCTTCAAGTATAAATACCATGGGACCACGCAGCCGTCATACCACTCAGGAAGGAGACGCGTTCTGTCTCCTAGAGATGAACGTACTTTGGTGCGAAAAGCGCAAATCAATCCCAGAACAACAGCAAAGGACCTTGTGAAGATGCTGGAGGAAACAGGTACAAAAGTATCTATATCCACAGTAAAACAAGTCCTATATCGACATAACCTGAAAGGCCGCTCAGCAAGGAAGAAGCCACTGCTCCAAAACCGCAATAAAAAAAGCCAGACTACGGTTTGCAACTGCACATGGGGACAAAGATCGTACTTTTTGGAGAAATGTCCTCTGGTCTGATGAAACAAAAATAGAACTGTTTGGCCATAATGACCATCGTTATGCTTGGAGGAAAAAGGGGGTTGCTTGCAAGCCGAAGAACACCATCCCAACCATGAAGCACAGGGGTGGCAGCATCATGCTGTGGGGGTGATTTGCTGCAGGAGGGACTGGTGCACTTCACAAAATAGATAGCATCATGAGGAAGGAAAATTATGTGGATATATTGAAGCAACATCTCAAGACATCAGTCAGGAAGTTAAAGCTTGGTCGTAAATGGGTCTTCCAAATGGACAATGACCCCAAGCATACTTCCAAAGTTGTGGCAAAATAGCTTAAGGACAACAAAGTCAAGGTATTGGAGTGGCCATCACAAAGCCCTGACCTCAATCCTATAGAACATTTGTGGGCAGAACTGAAAAAGCGTGTGCGAGCAAGGAGGCCTACAAACCTGACTCAGTTACACCAGCTCTGTCAGGAGGAATGGGCTAAAACTCACCCAACTTATTGTGGGAAGCTTGTGGAAGGCTACCCGAAACATTTGACCCAAGTTAAACAATTTAAAGGCAATGCTACCAAATACTAATTGAGTGTATGTAAACTTCTGACCCACTGGGAATGTGATGAAAGAAATAAAAGCAGAAAATAAATCACTCTACTATTATTTCACATTCTTAAAATAAAGTGGTGATCCTAACTGACCTAAGACAGGGAATTTTTACTAGGATTAAATGTCAGGAATTGTGAAAAACTGAGTTTAAATGTATTTGGCTAAGGTGTATGTAAACTTCCGACTTCAACTGTATATATAGGGTATAATGTGTATATTTACGTTGTATATACAGGGCGCATTTGTAAAAGAGACCTAGGTCTCAATATGTCTTCCCTGTTAAAATAAAGGTGAAAAAAGTTCTCAGACCTATAAGAACACTAAGGACATGTTTTAATCTGTGTTGTACCTGCGTGTTCTCTTAGCTGCTCCGGCTGTGGCTCCCTCCTGTTGCTGCTGCTGCTGCTTACGCTTGGCTCCTCTACCTTTACCTGGGCCAGGGGCCAGACCACCTTCACACAACACACACACAGGTTACACTATAGAACACACACACTTTCAGCACTATCAAAAAGTCACCTAAGAGGTACAAGCGTGAATTGAGCAGGGAGGGACACCACATAAACTCAGCAAAAAAAGAAACGTCCTCTCACTGTCAACTGCGTTAATTTTCAGCAATCTTAACATGTGTAAATATTTGTATGAACATAACAAGATTCAACAACTGAGACATAAACTGAACAAGTTCCACAGACATGTGACTAACAGCAATTGAATAATGTGTCCCTGAACAAAGTGGGGGTCAAAATCAAAAGTAACAGTCAGTATCTGGTGTGGCCACCAGCTGCATTAAGTACTGCAGTGCATCTCCTCCTCATGGACTGCACCAGATTTGCCAGTTCTTGCTGTGAGATGTTATCCCACTCTCCCACCAAGTCACCTGCAAGTTCCCTGACATTTCTGGGAGGAATGGCCCTAGCCCTCACCCTCCGATCCAACAGGTCCCAGACGTGCTCAATGAGATTGAGATCCGGGCTCTTCACATTGTAATGCTGGAGGGTCATGTCAGGATGAGCCCGCAGGAAGGGTACCACATGAGGGAGGAGGATGTCTTCCCTGTAACGCACAGCGTTGAGATTGCCTGCTATGACAACAAGCTCAGTCCGATGATGCTGTGACACACCGCCCTAGACCATGACGGACCCTCCACCTCTGTCCCGCAGGTGTGATTTTCGGATGTACCGATCCTGTGTAGGTGTTGTTACACGTGGTCTGCCACTGCGAGGACGATCAGCTGTCCGTCCTGTCTCCCTGTAGCGCTGTCTTAGGCGTCTCACAGTATGGACATTGCAATTTATTGCCCTGGCCACATCTGCAGTCCTCATGCATCCTTGCAGCATGCCTAAGGCACATTCACGCAGATGAGCGGGGACCCTGAGCATCTTTCTTTTTGTGTTTTTCAGAGTCAGTAGAAAGGCCTCTTTAGTGTTCTATGTTTTCATAACTGTGACCTTAATTGCCTACCGTCTGTAAACTGTTAGTGTTTTGACGACCGTACCACAGGTGCATGTTCATTAATTGTTTATGGTTCATTGAACAAGCATGGGAAACAGTGTTTAAACCCTTTACAATGAAGATCTGTGAAGTTATTTTGAGTTTTACGAATTATCTTTGAAAGACAGGGTGCTGAAAAAGGGACGTTTCTTTTTTTGCTGAGTTTATTAAGAAGTGCAGACACACAGAGGAAGCAAAGGGATTAATTCACACCATAGCTGTGTCCCAACTTTAACAGCCTCCTTCTGTCTTTCCTATACCACTCACCACTGGGCAAGAAAAGGAAGGAAGAGGCTGTTCCAGAGTATTGGGATGAAGCCCGTGAACTCAGGAGCAGAAAGCCAAAGGAAATTACGTCATTCAATCAGTCCACCAATCAAAAGCCAGATCAAAAGGGAAAACGCTTCAGGGCACCAACATAAGCGGAGAGCAGGTGAGGGATGGGGTTACGATTGGAGCAGGGTGGTTGCCTGAATATCCTGATCAAAGGTCAGACTGCATTTTGCCCCTAAATTGTTTGGGTAAGGAATGGGGGAGTTTAAGCTGATCCTTGATCTGTGCCTATGGGCAAATTCTACCTGGAGAGTTATGATTGCACGAAACACAGGGCTCAGAGGCAGATACCAAAACACCACATCATATTCACCTGAGAAAGAAGGTCCACCTGGAACGCAGCACAGCATGTATATAGCATTTATAACATGAGAACGTCTTCTGTGTGGCATTATGCTCTACTGTGACACATTGATAACTAATTCCATGAAAAACAGTATGTGTGTGAGTGTGACGTGTTGTGTGTTTAGTGAGAATTTGTGTTGATGTGTGACAGTGTGTGTTGGTGTGTTTTGAGAGAGTGTGTGTTTAAGAGTGTGTTGGTGTGTTTAGCACTTACCGTTGAGCCCTCCAGGAGTGGGAGCAGCGGTGGTCTGTTTCTGGTTGTCGTAAGACGGTCCAATGCTGCCCAAATCCTGAGATGAAAAAAAATCAACCAACTGTCAGCATCACTGTGTATGTGTGTGTGTTTGTCTGCTGTGTTTTCCTACCTGGTCCAGCAGGCCAAACTTGGGGTAGTCCTCCTCTGGGTCCTTACTGCCTGGGTCTGGCTGCTCCTTCACCAGGAACACATCCCGCTCTTTACTCTGAAAGACAGAGAAGTCAAGTAAAGACATTATCTGTTTCTAAGAGAAAGTCCAGGTACTTTTTCAACGGTGTAACAGTGAAGATCTATGGTGATAGGTGGGATGGGCTGAGAGCGGCTGAGGGGTGGGATTAAAGAGCTTATGTTTGGTAATGTATTATTGTTATATGACTCCTTTATATAAAAGTACCATGTATGTAAAATGTATGTACACTACCGGTCAAAAGTTTTAGAACACCTACTCATTCAAGGGTTTTTCTATATTTTTACTATTTTCTACATTGTAGAATAATAGTGAAGACATCAAAACTATGAAATAACTCATACAGTGGGGAGAACAAGTATTTGATACACTGACGATCTTGCAGGTTTTCCTACTTACAAAGCATGTAGAGGTCTGTAATGTTTATCATAGGTACACTTCAACTGTGAGAGACGGAATCTAAAACAAAATCCTGAAAATCACATTGTATGATTTTTAAGTAATTAATTTGCATTTTATTGCATGACATAAGTATTTGATCACCTACCAACCAGTAAGAATTCCGGCTCTCACAGACCTGTTAGTTTTTCTTTAAGAAGCCCTCCTGTTCTCCACTCATTACCTGTATTAAATGCACCAGTTTGAACTCGCTACCTGTATAAAAGACACCTGTCCACACACTCAATCAAACAGACTCCAACCTCTCCACAATGGCCAAGACCAGAGAGCTGTGTAAGGACATCAGGGATAAAATTGTAGACCTGCACAAGGCTGGGATGGGCTACAGGACAATAGGCAAGCAGCTTGGTGAGAAGGCAACAACTGTTGGCACAATTATTAGAAAAAGGAAGAAGTTCAAGATGACGGTCAATCACCCTCGGTCTGGGGCTCCATGCAAGATCTCACCTCGTGGGGCATCAATGATCATGAGGAAGGTGAGGGATCAGCCCAGAACTACACGGCAGGACCTGGTCAATGACCTGAAGAGAACTGAGACCACAGTCTCAAAGAAAACCATTAGTAACACACTACGCCGTCATGGATTAAAATCCTGCAGCGCACGCAAGGTCCCCCTGCTCAAGCCAGTGCATGTCCAGGCCCGTCTGAAGTTTGCCAATGACCATCTGGATGATCCAGAGGAGGAATGGGAGAAGGTCATGTGGTCTGATGAGACAAAAATAGAGCTTTTTGGTCTAAACTCCACTCGCTGTGTTTGGAGGAAGAAAAAGGATGAGTACAACCCCAAGAACACCATCCCAACCGTGAAGCATGGAGGTGGAAACATCATTCTTTGGGGATGCTTTTCTGCAAAAGGGACAGGACAACTGCACCGTATTGAGGGGAGGATGGATGGGGCCATGTATCGCGAGATCTTGGCTAACAACCTCCTTCCCTCAGTAAGAGCATTGAAGATGGGTTGTGGCTGGGTCTTCCAGCATGACAACGACCCGAAACACACAGCCAGGGCAACTAAGGAGTGGCTCCGTAAGAAGCATCTCAAGGTCCTGGAGTGGCCTAGCCAGTCTCCAGACCTGAACCCAATAGAACATCTTTGGAGGGAGCTGAAAGTCTGTATTGCCCAGCGACAGCCCCGAAACCTGAAGGATCTGGAGAAGGTCTGTATGGAGGAGTGGGCCAAAATCCCTGCTGCAGTGTGTGCAAACCTGGTCAAGACCTACAGGAAACGTATGATCTCTGAAATTGCAAACAATGGTTTCTGTACCAAATATTAAGTTCTGCTTTTCTGATGTATCAAAAACTTATGTCATGCAATAAAATGCTAATTAATTACTTAAAAATCATACAATGTGATTTTCAGGATTTTTGTTTTAGATTCCGTCTCTCACAGTTGAAGTGTACCTATGATAAACATTACAGACCTCTACATGCTTTGTAAGTAGGAAAACCTGCAAGATCGTCAGTGTATCAAATACTTGTTCTCCCCACTGTATGTAATCATGTAGTAACCAAAGAAGTGTTAAACAAATCAAAATATATTTTAAATATAACATCCATTCACCCACACCGCGTCTCACAAGGACACGGCGGTTGGAACCAAAAATCTCCAGACCAAAGGACAAATTTCCACCGGTCTAATGTCCATTGCTCGTGTTTCTTGGCCAAAGCAAGTCTCTTCTTCTTATTGGTGTTCTTGAAATGTTCCGTATTGACTGACCTTCATGTCTTAATGATGGACTGTCGTTTCTCTTTGCTTATTTGAGCTGTTCTTGCCATAATATGGACTTGGTCTTTTACCAAATAGGGCTATCTTCTGTATACCCCCCTACCTTGTCACAACACAACTGATTGGCTAAGAAGGAAAGAAGAAAATAAATTCCACAAATTAACTTTTAAGAAGGCACACCTGTTAATTGAAATGCATTCCAGGTGACCACCTCATGAAGCTGGTTGCGAGAATGCCAAGAGTGTGCAAAGCTGTCATCAAGGCAAAGGGTGGCTATTTGAAGAATCTCAAATATAAAATAGATTGATTTGTTTAACACTTTTTTGGTTAATACATGATTCCATGTGTTATTTCATAGTATTGATGTCTTCACTATTATTCTACAATGTAGAAAATAGTAAAAAAAAATAAAGAAAAACTCTTGAATGAGTAGGTGTTCTAAAACTTTTGACCGGTAGTATATATATATATATTTTGTTTAAACAGTGACGGTTTAGTGTGATGTGTGTAGTTTGGTGCATCTGTGCAAGTCAGTGGTTGCTCTTATACTCACCATGGTCTTGACTAGGTTGTTGGGCCAGGTAAGTTTTCCAGGTCTCTGTCGGGTGGTCATACACTCCCAGTACTTATCAATGAATGGGATGATGTCCTGCAAGGAGAGAGAGAGTGTACTGGAAAATATGACATTAACATATCCAGTGTTTTAAGCAAATGAAAAACATACGCAAAAGATGTGTAATATCTTGACATGACATATAAAATCAAGCATTTCCAAAGATCACATATTCGCTTCTCAATGTGTATTACTGTGGGTTCTATGTTGGGACTGTTGAGGGGACTGACCTTGTCTTTGGAGAACATAGTCTTGGGGTGTTCCTCCTGAGTCCTGGAACTCCATGTGAGGTTGGCCAGAGCAGTCAGACACATCTCCTTCAGGTCTGGAACACACAGCATCACTCAATCAGTACATCACTAAATAACAGACCATCAGTAATCACCAAACACACACACACACACACACACACACACACACACACACAGAAGTGTATCAGCTGAATGAGAACACCTACTGGCTTGTTTCCGGAGGAAGTAGGTGTTGCCGCTGTGATGACACACGTTACAATGGAACACATAGTTGGTCATGAAAGGCAGACACGTCCTGGAGAGAGCGGGAGAAAGACTAATCAAAGACCTTGATCCTGAACATTTTAAATTTAAACCAGTAGCTACCTGGTTATTCGAGCTCAAGGGGTCTAATTCAAGGTCTAACAAGCTTAGTCTTGGAATCAGTTAGCCAAAGGCCTCTATGGTAAGAGATAGATTGAGTTACTAAGTGAGTCAGACGTACGCGGTGTCGATACTGAAGGTGTCGGCAGTGAACCACTTCATACAGAGAGCACACTGCAGCTCCACCTCTCCCTGGTGCCTGCCGCTCTCCTCATCCCCAGAACCTGTCTGGGTGTCAGCCGCCTCCAAACCCTCACTACCCGGATCCTGAGGAGGGGAACACAGGAAAAAGGGTTAGTTACTGCTACTGTCTGTGAAAAGAGATATCCAGATAACTGCTGTATTAGAGGTGTGGTACCATGGCCTCTTTGCCATTCGATGACTCAGTCTCCAGGTTGCCTGTCAGGTCCCCAAATCCAGCATCACTGAAAGTAAACAAAGATATGACGACATGAACATTAGCTGGTTAGCTACACGCTATGGTCACAGCTGGGATAACTGATCAGCCATTAACCTTTATATTCTTATATTTAAGACTAGCTGTGGACCATGCGCATGCGTCGATTGGGCACTAACATGGACCAGAGCTAGTCTGGCGGTAAACAAAGTGCTCAAAAGTAATTTACTTCGTATTTTGGATAATTTACCGTTTAAGTACACAGAGAAAAGTTTGTCAGCACTCAAGGGAGATTTTTCCTTTTGTAAGTAATAATATTAATGGAGAAAGATGTGTGGCGTTGAATAAGGTTCAGCCTTTAAAGGCGCAATCAGCTGTTGTTACATCCATTTTTGGACTTATAACTTGATGTTTCTAGAATTTAACTTATAAATGCCTCATGAGCTTAGTTCAACTGTCGTACTCCTTCAGAAATCTAAAATATACGCTTTTTTACTTCAATGTTTGTAGACAAAGTAAATGTAAACAAACACTATATAGCATCAAAACATGGGTACAACTATACTCTTGATATCATGGAGGGTCCTTGCATCCATAGTTCGGTCTATGAATTTGAGTGGTTACATTTCTTCAGCCGCATCCCTCAGCTTTTTACCTAACAGGGGCGGGTACGGTTGCTTTGTTATTGTTTCTACTGTTGAACTCAGCATCCATTCGCAAACCGCACGTAACGCCCCGGACCAGAGCTAACTAGGTAGCTATTTTCCCTTGGTTTGCTAGCTAGGTTCTGCAGGATTCATGCTTGGGATTTATTTAGAAGCAGATATTGGTCAAGGAAATCAGCCTGTGCTTTGATGCTTTAGCTAGTTGATCGCTAGTTAGCTTACAAGTTGGAAAGGCATTTGAATGAAACAGTTAGCTTGCTAACAAGCTAACGACGTTACCTTCAGTTGGCTAACGTCAGCGGGCTGGCTTGTTGAGGGTAAGCTAGCTAGCTGTAATTGCAATATTTATGAATATTTAGCTGGTTGTCTACCACCAAACATATATTATAAACAAAAACCCTGGTATTTCACCGTTTTAACAGAGACTTACCCGTCTCCGGTCTCTGGTTCAACAACAGAAACACTGCACGCTTCTCCTTCCGACGCCATGTTTCAAATCAATAAAATATGACATCTCGCGAGACGTTTTGGTGTAAGGTGACGCTAGACACAGTTTCAGCTTTTCGGATGTAAGCGTTGTACATGTGTTGGGGTAGGGGAAATATGATCCTAGATCAGTGACAATTACATGTAAACTTCTGTGAAGTTGACTTGAAGTTGTGTCACGCTGCTGGGATGGTATATCCTAAGTGGGATCCTTGGGACGTCCCTACACTAAACCCGAACCTTAACCCTTATACCCTTAACCCTTAACCAATTTTAATTATAACTGGGATGACGTCAGAGTTGGACGTCTCAAGGATCCCACTTATACTTTTCCCTGCTAGGATGGTCCTTATTAATAAATAACCAACACTATTGCATTATTGTAGAACATGTTTTTTTAGTCAAAATCTGCATCTATAAATGAAACAGCTATTTTTTGTTTGAACACATATAGGCTTACATTTATGACCACAGACAATCTGTCTCCTAATGTGTGGTTAAACATGTCTATAACACCTCTATTACCACCATCAATGCTGTAACACAATTCAGATATTTATGGGTAGTTTCCTCCATTCTGAGCCTGAGGACAGCAGAGGTACACAGGGCACCATTATACCACATAGGCGTGTGGCTAAAAGTGTGGCAGAAAGATAGACCATAAAGGAATCCTACTGCTGTGGAATGCTAAGAGCTCCCCCGAGTATGGTTAGAAGTGCTTTTAACTGTTGTTAAGGAAATTATATAGTTAAAGGTTCTCCTTCTTCTTTCTCTCTCTCGTAGTGGAGCCCATCTGTGAGGTAGTGTGGTGAGAGGCGGGGTCGAGGGGGCTAAGGAGGAGAGGGGTGAGGAGTAGTGAGGGGGTAATTCGGAATTGAATGGGGTACCCCCTGTATGCCCATTCAATTCTCAATTACACCATGACCGTCAGGACACATACATTTCCCTAAAGAAGAGGGATGCGGGTGGATACTAGTTGATTATTTCACCATAGCCTAGACCCTTCTATTGGTATAGTTAATAATATCTAACCACAATGCTTGATGTCTATTCTGACACAATGTTGATGGATGAATGAAACCTTTATTTACGCTTATGGAGACAAAGGATAGACCTGGGCCTGGCTAAAGTTAAAATGTTCACTGTTTAATCTAGAGAATCGCTCCCTCTTCTACTGTGTTCTTCCCGCGCTCCTCACCCCCCTCTCATTTTACATTTACATTTTAGTCATTTAGCAGACGCTCTTAACCAGAGCGACTTACAGTTAGTGAGTGCATACATTTTCATACTGGCCCCCAGTGGGAAATGAACCCACAACCCTGGCGTTGCAAGCGCCATGCGCTACCAACTGAGCTACAGGGGACTCTCCTCTTCCTCACCTCCTCTCACCGCTCAGTCAGATTCTGATACAAGTTTTATTTAATTTTTAACGATATGGAAGGTCAATAAAAAATGCAAGGGAAATACATTACATTTTAAGTCAAGAATATAGAATAAAGATCAGAACAATTTGATGCACTAGTCCTTAAGACTCTTTCTTCGACCCTGGACAAGCCAGTGAGTGCTTGGTGTGGGTTGAGAAGTGTGATGCTCTTCACCACACATATTATATACGGTCCCCCCTGGTCTTCTCTGGTCCTGCTGGACAAAGGCCTGGGTCAGGGAAGGTCAGGCCCACTGGTGACATCTGCTAATTGTCCCAGTGGGCCGGCCACTCTATTCCCCTCAATACCAACCGCTCTGTAGGGGTAACTGCTGGGAGGACGCTGGGAGATGCCATCCTGCTACCCCATCTTTACGACCTGGCCTGCTCCACAGGGTCATTTACCCCCCTCATATACCCCCCAGAATGACTCTTCGGATGGACCCTCTCACCCCCCATTTACTCACTCGCTGGAGACTACAGATCAGTAGAAGTCATATTACTAATGTATGGCTAAGGACAGGACTATTAATACGGCTTTAAAGTGCTTTTATAGACCATTCCTGATAGATGATTCAGACATCTGGCATGTAGGCTGCAAATAATGTACAGTACAGTTATTTGGATGAGGACTGGTAGACTGCACTGCGCTGCACCACATTAACAACACTTGGGTCATTCCACCAATTCGGTGCCTTTTGAGAAGTGTAAGTTGGTAAAAAAACATATTTTGATTTCACCTAATTTTAACATTCTGCCATGAAGAGCACATGTTAATCTTCATTTTTTAAAAACTTTCCCATCTCAAGAGGTTAAGTAAAAAAAATTACTATAGTAGGTGCCTATTAAGTGCCAGATAAAGTAACAGGGTTGAACAAATAGGGTTGAAGATTTCATCTTAAATCAGCCATGAATCCCCTTGTGACCATGGGAATAGAAGCTTGTTCTGTGCAACAGGGTGTGGCAATTGAATGCAAGCTTCATAATTGTTACAACGTTTCTAGCCTGTCTATATATATGCATAACACAAGGTTGACGCGATAGGCTCAATTGAACTATTAGATGTTCTATGTTTCTTTCCAAAAATATACAGTGCCAGTAAAAAGTTTGGACACACCTACTCATTCAAGGGTTTTTCTTTATTTTTACTATTTTCTACATTGTAGAATAATAGTGAAGACATCAAAACTATGAAATAACACATATAGAATCATGTAGGAACCAAAAACGTGTTAAACAAATCAAAATATATTTTATATTTGAGATTCTTCAAATAGCCACCTTTGACTTGATGACAGCTTTGCACACTCTTGGCATTCTCTCAACCAGCTTCACCTGGAATGCTTTTCCAACAGTCTTGAAGGAGTTCTCTCATATGCTGAGCACTTGTTGGCTGCTTTTCCTTCACTCTGCCGTCCGACTCATCCCAAACCATCTCAATTGGGTTGAGGTCGGGGGATTGTGGAGGCCAGGTCATCTGATGCAGCACTCCATCACTCTCCTTCTTGGTCAAATATCCCTTACACAGCCTGGAGGTGTGTTGGGTCATTGTCCTGTTGAAAAACAAATGATAGTCCCACTAAGCCCAAATCAGATGGGATGGCGTATCGCTGCCGAATGCTGTGGTAGCCATGCTGGTTAAGTGTGCCTTGAATTCTAAATAAATCACTGACAGTGTCACCAGCAAAGCACCCCCACACCATAACACCTCCTCCTCTATGCTTTACGGTGGGAAATACACATGCGGAGATCATCCGTTCACCCACACCGCGTCTCACAAAGACACAGCGGTTGGAACCAAAAATCTCAAATTTGGACTCCAGACCGAAGGACACATTTCCACCGGTCTATTGTCCATTGCTCGTTGTTCTTGGCCCAAGCAGGTCTCTTCTTCATATTGATGTCCTTTAGTAGTGGTTTCTTTGCAGCAATTCAACCACGGCCTGATTCACACAGTCCCCTCTGAACAGTTGATGTTGAGATGTGTCTGTGACTTGAACTCTGTGAAGCATTTATTTGGGCTGCAATTTCTGAAGCTGGAAACTCTAATGAACTTATCCTCTGCAGCAGAGGTAACTCTGGGTCTTCCATTCTTGTGGCGATCCTCATGAGAGCCAGTTTAATCATACCGTTTGATGGTTTTTGCGACTGCACTTGAAGAAACTTTCAAAGTTCTTGACATTTTCCGGATTGACTGACTTTCATGTCTTAAAGTAATGATGGACTGTCGTTTCTCTTTGCTTATTTGAGCTGTTCTTGCCATAATATGGACTTGGTCTTTTACCAAATAGGGCTATCTTCTGTATTCCCCCCTACCTTGTCACAACACAACTGATTGGCTCAAACGCATTAAGAAGGAAAGAAATTCCACAAATTAACTTTTAAGAAGGCACTATCGTATATGAAGATTATGTCTTTGTTAAATGTTTTTCATGAAGAAATTGAATGTTGTTTATGTTAGTATCAAAAGGGAATGTTTTAGTGTAACGTCACATACAACAGACAGGAAGTGTGTTGTAGACAGGGGAGACTGGTGATTGGCCAGAAGAGGGAGCATCTTTTTGCATTGTTTATAAATAGGGGTTAAACGAAGAAGAAAGTCAGAACGGCCATGACAATCTGGGACGCCGTTCTCCGGACACCGCGGGTCTGTAACTTATGCTGTAACCTTGTGATTTTAATAAAAGCCTCTAACACGGTGCAGCTTGAGCGGACTCTTTGTTGACAGCAATAATTGCCACCATTCACCCGATACGACAAATGGCGCCCAACATGGGGCTGGTCTGCACCTCTCCTTTGTTTCAGTCAGCCGCCAGGCTAACTCGCTTTGAAGCATGGCCAGACAAGGGTGAGTTTTTCTTACCGTTTTGGAGCTTGTTAGATTGGATACGACTTGTGTACACTGGAGAGATGTACCATACGACCTTGCCTCGGGTGGCGTTATTGCGGTCGACTAGAGTCTGTTATAATATATTCCATGGGTAAACGGCAGGTAATTGGAAGTTTAGAGCATAAAACGGTAGGAATTAAGTATTGAAGGTGTACAATTAAAACAGATATGTGCATTCATTAGGGCACTGTACCGCTTAAGACCCCGGGGGGGCCATTTAGAAAATGATGGGCCGACAAATCTGCGTGCACGATAGAATGTGCATTCGGTGGGTTTTAAAGAAAACTCGGTTTGATGGGTTTTATCTGATTGTGATTATGACTCGACTCTCGTCCGACGGGGGGTTTGATTGGGTCTGATTTCTCGGTGAAATGGACATTAATCCACGGTAGCAAAAACGGTAGGAGAAATATATGTTAAAAGGAATAAGGGCAGTGAAGGATATTTATTTGTGTGGTAGGCCGCAGTTAGCTAAAGGCTAAAGCTAATGTTAATGCTAAATGCTGGAGTGTGGGTCATGCTACATGGTACATAGCGGCTAATGCTAAATGCTAAGGCTAAATGCTAATTGTGTTGCGTGCTACATGCTAACGGATATCCTTAGAGGCCTCATTGCGATGGGATAAGCCTCCTAAACTTGTTTGTGTGTGGGTGGAATTCAAAGTTCTACGCAAATGTGAGCTCTGTTATGTGTAATTGTGTGAGTATAA